ACTGGTCCTCTGGGCCAATGTGTACTTGGAAAGCCACTGCGCACACATGACCTGCAACCAGGGCTCGTCTCACCTCCATCCGCTCTGCGTCGGAGAATACGCTCTCCCTTCCACCCAGAGTTCCCAGCTGTTTCCTGAAATCTGCAGGTCCTGTCCAGATACAGCTGCTGATGACAGGAAGGAGGGGGCAGTGGCCTCTTGGGCTCACAGCAGAGCTCCTGGGTCAGGCTCAGGCAGAGCGGGAGCCTCACCGCCAGTGGGCCCGGGGTCTCCGAGTGCAAGCACTGATAGCACAGGTGAAAAGCTTGTTTTTCCTCAATCTCTGGTTTGGGAGAATTTTCATGTCATCACAGGTGGTTCTGACTCAGAGGTCCCAAAACATCTCCTCAGCTCCTGCTACATTTACGCAACATTAAACAATCACAGCTAAAAACCCCTGTGGGGAGTAATGAGGACTGGATTTATTTGCCCATGGGAACCACCTGACAGAACGGGAGATAGTGGTGTTCAGACGTGGGATGGCAGGTTGCTGGTGATGCGGCTGGCGAAGGTAAGGTCCTACATGCTGGGTGCCGACTGACTCCTGGGATAGGGAAGAACACATGGTGAGCAGCTGCCAGCCACGTCGAGGCTGCTGGCAGCCTGAGCCAGGCTGTGGGGCACTGAGAAGTGACCGTCTGTGTGGAAGAGCAGGAACGGCTTTCCAGAGACAGCGTGACCTCGAGTGCATCTTGAAGGGAGCCCAGTGAGGGAAGATGGGTGCGCTGGGGAGAGTGGACCTCACCTAGGCCATGAGAGCTCTGCTCTGAGGCCAGGCTCCCGATCACAAAGGCCTCTGTGCCCAGCCCAGGGCCGGGTTGTGTCCCGGAGGCAGTGGGAAAACGCAGCATGGTCCAAGGTGTTTCACACACGGCTGCCTGGAAGCCACGGGTGGAGATGTGGTGGGGTGGGGGTGGGCACCCGATTGTTTTGGTCCCATGCAGATGTTTGGGCAGCCCGCCCCCTGCCCACGCCACACCTGCGCTAGTTTCCGCCATGTGCCACTGCTGCCGGTCCAGCCGGGCACACAGCCATGGTGTGGCCTCCACCCGCACCTCTGGCCTCAACCAGAGCTCCCGGCCAGTGTTCCCCAGCGAGCCGATTGAGCTCTTCAGCAGGACTTCACCTATTCCAGGTATACATCATTATCTCCATTTTCACAAGATCCCTGGGTGACCCTTATGCAGGGAACCATCACCCGGGGATCTTGGCGAGGTGGAAAAGCCCTTCTCAGCAGGGGTCATCTGGAAGGAACAGGTTTGGAGCTCTGAGTTGAGGCTGGAACCTCCCGGGAACAGGAAACGGCTCTGGAACCACAGCACTGCCTCCACTTCCGGCTTCTCTGCTTCCACCTGGCAGGACGATGCTGGTCACCGGGGTTGAAATAAATAAAAACAGGATGTGGTTTAAGAGACAGAGTCATCTTCCGACGTTGAGCACCACGTGGGGCTGGCCAGTTGCGGGGACAGTCAGCAAGGTTTGACACTGACCTGATGAAAACCCACAGGAGGAAAGGCGTGAGCAGTGCTGACGCCAGCCCAGGCTAGAGGTCTCGGCACACTGAACCGTGCCCCAGCGGCTGGACGAGGGGCCTAGAGGTCTCGGCACACTGAACCGTGCCCCAGCGGCTGGACGAGG